ATCATTTTCACTTAGATTTGTGAAGGCAAGTGCTTTTTGTTTTCTGTGTTGCTGTTGAGAAGCCCTTTGTGATTCCCCCCATTTATTTCTCTTTGGAAGTTTCTAGGATCTTCTATATATGGCTGGTGTCTGAATTTTTCTGAGATATATCTGGTATATGTCTTTTATTACTTCATTGTCCTGGGGATTTAAAGCAATGTCTTTCAATTCTGGAAATTCTTTTGAATTATTCTTTGGATATTTTTATCTCTTTTCTCCCCCTCTTTTTTTTTATGGAATGCATATTCATTGGATATCCAACTTTCTGGATTGATCCTCTTTTATTTCCTTTTTTTTTTTTTAATTTTTTTAACGTTTATTCATTTTTGAGAGACAGAGAGAGAGAGAGCATGAGCGGAGAAGGGGCAGAGGGAGGGAGACACAGAATCCGAAGCAGGCTCCAGGCTCTGAGCTGTCCACACAGAGCCCAACGTGGGGCTTGAACCCACGAACTGCGAGATCATGACCTGAACCGAAGTTGGACACTCAACCGACTGGGCCACCCAGGCGCCCCTTTAATAATTTATTTTTAAGTAATTTCTACATCCAATGTGGGACTCAAACTTAAAACCCTGAGATCTAGTCACATGCCCTGCAGACTGAGCCAGCCAGGCACCCACCTCCTATTTTTTCTTTTCCTACTTTCTTCAAGTCTTTTGACCTTATCTTCTAACCCTATTGATTTGTTTTTGTTGTTGTTGTTTTTATTTTAGACACAGAGTGAGAGCATGTGTGCACATGAGCAGGGGAGAGGGGCAAAGGGGGAGAGAGAAAGAGAATCTTACGTAGGCTCCAGCCCTATGCTGGGATCCATCCCATGACCCTGGGATTATGACCTGAGTGGAAATCAAGAGTCTGACGCTCAACCCACTGAGCCACCCAGGACCCCCTACACTATTGTATTTTTTATTACAAATTATCATTTGTTTGAATTTCAAGCTTTCCTGTTCTTTGGATGTTCCTCCTATTCTTGTTTGTGGGATCATTTTCTCATGTTTCTGAGGATATTAACTGATTTTTTCTGCATGTTCCCTGTTTACTAAAAGTTGCTTTTTTTTCTTTTTGTTTTGGTTCTGTCTCTTATGATGAAGGCTTTCATCATGTGATTGGTTATCTTTTGTTGTATAATCACTAAAAGGTTAACAACAAAAAAGGTTACAGAGAAAAGTTTATCGCTTAAGGTTTGGACTTGTTAACTGGTGGGTTTGGTTAAAGGGTGATTGGGTAAGGGCCTGGCCTTTTTTTTCAGAGGACCTTCAAATATTTATTTACCTTTTTTTGGCTACCTATCAGTTTTTGTAAAGAATCTTCTGCCAGAATTCTTGGATCCAAGTACACAGAGTGCTGCAGTATTTACCATTAGATTATAAACCTTCATTTTCCTTTAACTTTGGCATCTTTAAGTTTAGCATCTTTCTGCCCTCTTTTACCCTGGACCTGGTGCTTTATTGTTTCATCATTTTCCTAAAATAAACCATCTTTCCTGCTGGGACTGGAGAGGAGTAGTTACTTATCTGGTTTGGATGGGGGAGGACCTGGGAGATTACTTCTTTTACATTTTCAACTAATTCTCTGTATTTTAGTCTCATGACCCATTGTGCCTGCTCTGGTATCTGGTGTCTCAAATTCTTGACCCTTTCTGATTTTTGCTACGTGAATTGGCCTTTCTCTTGTTGGAATTCTCTGCAGTTGCTTGGTATTCAACTTTCTTAGCTCTAAATTCTCCATCTGGTTTTCATTTGCTAAAAATTTATTGACATATCTTGTCTACTGTTCCTGTTGTTTTCTCTTCTAGTCTCTTTATCCTTGTGAATTTGTACTTCTTTATCCTTTCACGCTCATTTTAGTATTTTTTTAACCAGATAAGATTATCATAAAAACTCATCTTAATTTAAATGGTTATTTGTGGGCAAAGAAACGTCATTAACTGTCTAAAGATGAAAACAAGAAAGAAAAAAACAGGAAATAGGAAGACTTAGGTGATTGTTATCATGCAATTATGTAACATTCTTTAGTGAAAATACACATACACACACAGACGTGGTTACATGTTATATATAATGGATATATATATATATGTGGATATTTAAGTGTGTATATATGTACATTTATACGGTCTATATATGTATACTTCATAATTATAGTATTTGGAAGCTGGAAAGGGTCATGATTGTTAGCCAGTGCAATTTCATTTTTCAGTGAGGAAACTGGCTTTGATTTACAAGTGATTTACTGAAACTTTCAAAACCAAGTCTTCCCAATATTTTAACTGTAAAATACTAGAACTATGAACAACTTGGAGGTTCAGAACTATATTTAAAGTCTAATTCTGGCCCTAGGTAAATAGCTTGATGTTTTGAATTAGTCCTGACAGCGATTTTCAAGTGGTATTGTGATTTTCAACTTTCAGGTGGTATTGTGTTAGTCAGGGAGGGGATGGCTTTCCTGACCATTCTGAAAACAAAGCTGTAATTTAACACAGTGCTTTGTTCATAGTAATGTTATTAACTTATTTTGAATAAATATTAAAGGGAATTATGAGATTTATTTATCTGCTCCATTAACTGTTTATCTTAACCATCACATAGGATGGATCTTGTTTTTATGTGACACTGAAAGATAGCTAATAACTATTTTAGTAAAATAAATGAGATTGTGTGTGAGACTAAAGGCTGACTTTAAGACAGGAAGCTTCTTATCAACTAAGTTAATTCTTTAATTTTTTTAACATTTATTAATTTTTGAGAGACAGAGACAGAGTGTGAGTCGGGGAGAGGCAGAGAGAAAGGGAGACACAGAATCTGAAGCAGGCTCCAGGCACTGAGCTGACAGCACAGAGCCGGACGTGGGGCTCGAACTCACGAACTGTGAGATCATGATCTGAGCCAAAGTCGGAACCTTAACTGACTGAGCCACCCAGGTGCCCCTCAACTAAGTTAATTGTTTTTTTATTTTTTAATTTTTAAAAAATATTTATTTATTTTTGGGAGACAGAGAGACAGAGTGCAAGCAAGGGAGGGGCAGAGAGAGAGGGAGACACAGAATCTGAAGCAGGCTCCAGGCTCTGAGCTGTGAGCACAGAGCCCGATGTGGAGCTTGAACCCGCAAAGTGCGGGATCGTGATCTGGGCCAGAAGTCGAATGCCCAACCGACTGAGCCACCCAGGCGCCCCTCAACTAAGTTAATTCTTTTTTTATTTTATTTTTTTTTTAAATTATTTTTTTTTCCAACGTTTATTTATTTTTGAGACAGAGAGAGACAGAGCATGAACAGGGGAGGGGCAGAGACAGAGAGAGACACAGAATCTGAAACAGGCTGCAGGCTCTGAGCGGTCAGCACAGAGCCTGACGCAGGGCTCGAACTCACCGGCCGTGAGATCATGACCTGAGCCAAAGTCCCGAAGTCGGACGCTTAACCAACCAAGCCACCCAGGCGCCCCTAAGTTAATTCTTAAGAATAAAAAAGTTGTATTTCTGTATTTTTTTCTCTTTTGCTTACTAAATATACAAACATTACTATAGCCATATAGAAAATAGTGTAAAATAAAAACAATTACCCAGTTTCATCACTTAAATATTATCAATTATTTTCATTTTTGCTCTTACTCATATGTACATATTTTATTAAGGTATAGTCTCTGGAGATATGGTTTTAATAATGCTATAATGAATATCTTCATGAATATATCTTCCTTTTTTTTTT